AGCGCCCCTGTCGTCAGCTTGAGACAGACTGGACGCTGCTTACCCCGCCCCTCAAGGTCCTGGAGTGGGATCTGAAGTATGTGAGCACCCACGTCCTTTCAACTCACACGCGCGTGTTTCCTGTTGGCCTCTCGCGACTCGGAGCACCAGAAGACATGGGATCCACGTCTACGCCGTACATACAAATCACAAAGAAGGCGACCCCCCACCCTCACCTGCTGCTCGTTGGAATTTAGAAACATTCCAAGCTCCGGCATATATTGCACTGAGACGCCTCTTGATCATGTGCGCCATTGACCCTTGCTCCCCTGCCCTTTTTACCTTGCTCGACTCACAACATTGCACATCGGTTTCCGCCATCGGTTTCCAGAGCAACACGCAACATGACCACTTGACCTGTGATGCCATCGTGATGTGGTGGACCATGGACCTTGTTCCCGGCGTGACATTGAGCACCACTCCTGGTTTGATATTTCACCAAATCGCGCTAGCACTCGACTTTATACTCATTTGAGCTCACCGCATTCCACGCACTTTGCCTTGCGTGCTAAATACTCAATGTCAGGCTGGATTGATGGCGCACCGCCCCACCGTGAGCACTGGATGCCTTGTATATATGTCTTCAACCAGCCCAGTCCTTGGACGTTGGCTGCCGCTCGCTATTTGCAAGCCTCTCATGATGATTATCGCATCTGGTTCGACTTGATCGCGGACAAGCCCATCGATGCTGCGCCCAGCATCCCACGCTCCGCTCCTACATGTACCTGTGGGGCCCATCAGTACGGCGAGAGCCTCGAGCGCTTTCATGATCCGGCCTATCTATCGTGAGTGCATTTATTTTTCTATATTCAATGGGCTCCTTACCCAGCCAGCTCTGCTCATTCCAGGTGCCAATGCCCGAGATAAATAGGTACTGTGCTGCTCTGGCGCGGCAAGTAACTGCTGCGTTTGGACACACGCACGATTGTCTTCATATGTGAGTACCCGTACCTCGACTCACCGGCTCCTTGATGGACTGTTTGCGCCATGGCCGGCATTCTGTCGTCCTGAAATTCACGCTGCGTTTGATCCTGTGCGCTTGCGTTAGATATGCCGCCTCGCCATACTTCGCGTTACAGGTACTTCTCCACCTCGATGACCTGATATCTAGCACACGTGTGATCTTGAGTGGCCCCGCAGCTTCCTTCGTGCGACGGCGTGCGGCAACCCTAACGCCGCGGTATGTTCCCCGATCACGCCCCCTGGACTTTTTTTTTTTTTTTGGCTTGACCTTCCAGTGCAATGCTTGATGATGGTCGAGAGTTGTCTCATAACCATGTCCCTGTTTCAGGCTAGCCTGCGCCGTTTCAGCAAACTTCTCAGATCCAGCAGTTGCAGAGCCGGCTGCTGACTTTCTCCAATTACAGACATGGCCCCAAAGCGCCCCGGGCACGGGATACCTCACCATTCTTGTGGTGCCCATTCAATGTGCTGCCTGGCATGAAGCCATCACGCCGGTGAAACAGGTCAGAGTCGGTTCACATGTCGCGATTAGATGAGACCTGTATTTTGTCGACGAGCTGTTCATAGCGTTGGGTCTAGTATTCCTTCGACATGTCTGCCGTCACCCTCACAAGACTGTTTGAATGCTTTCATGGCTTCTCTATCTTGTGCCCATTGACCGTCATGTGATCGCGCTTTAAACCTACCATTTCAGGCGTTGGGTTTCAATATGGACGTCTACGATCAGGTGGCCCAGGCTCAGTTGCCAATGTTTATGGATGTGAGGATGGATGATTATATCTTTACTGAGTTGGCCACTGCCATTTGTTTACAAAGCAGCGATCAGACCTCAACCCGCCTTGAGTGGGAGCTCACCAAGCCCAGCCGGGTGGATGCATTGATGCTGTATATGCGCTACGAGCTCCCCGCAGCCGCGGCTGACGACAGCTTGGTACCCTCAGCAGCCACAACAACCGTGCTGGACCTTCATCCAGCTCGTGCTCGCTGGGCCCAACAGGTAAAGCTCAAAGAAGAACTGGCGTGGCAGTTTTATCCAAGAAATGACGAGATGACTTGGCGTGGCTCTGGTTTGCATCCGTCCTTTGGCTCTTACTTACCTTCCCTCCACGAAAACCCCATATGTGATGCACAGCGTCTGTTGCTCCCGCAGCAGCCGTTGCATGTAGGTGAGGACGGCACCCTGAGCATTGAAATGAGCCTGGACGATGCGATAGCGTCTGAGATCCGCCCACCAACGTGGTCATGGGTCGCTGCGTGACCCATGCATGAGCCCTCACAAGAGCGTGAGTAATAGTTGGCTTGCGAGAGAGATGGTTTGGCAGAAGCACACAAAGTTTTGGTCTGCGTCTGTAGAAAATTGACATGCCAGAGCATTGTTGCCTGGGATAACGTTGTAATAATTATTTTGCACGAATGGATAAACTCGGTCATTCGGGTGCAGTCAAAGCAGAATACAAGCAAGACCAGCAAGACTTGGCCCCTTTAACATGATCAGGAACCCTAATTTAGAAAGGGTGGTGACAAATGCCAAAGAGATGCAAGGAGACGAAGCGGGTGTGGCTGGTGGGGCCTCGCTCTTATTTTGGACCTAAGCAGAACCAAAGTGCAACAAGGTAGCCGTGCGCCGATGGTGCTCTGAATTGGGCGATGTTGTCCCTGGCGAAGCGACCATCGACGCTGGCATGGCAGAGACTGCGGCGGATCGAAAGCTTGTGGGTGCTGTCCAGCCGTGCGTGCTGCCCATTGCAGTGTTTGCAGTGGAGCGGCTCTTGGCAGTGCTCACAGCAGCTTGCGAAGTGACAAGAGGGCGCAGCAATCGAGCCAAAGTCAGAGGCTGGCCCGTCACGAGGGCAAGCTAAGATTCAGACATGATGCCAAGGGCGCAGAGAGCACGATCAAAGCACCAGCAGAGTCAGATGAGCGACTGCTCATAATAGCTGTGAGGTGGCATCGGTAGACGACATCAACGGACTTTGAGGTCACCATTAGCCCGATGCAGGGGTGTGCTGTGCATTGCGTGCTTTGTATGACGCCGGCGCCAACAACAATTACGCCACCATCGCTGAATCACGCGCGCCGCTCGCACAGCGTCTCGTTGATGTTGGACTTGAACAAGCTGATGGAGATCTTGCAACTACACACACAACCGCACCACGTGTCAGCGCTCGTCATAGAGGCTTATTGGAGACTCAGGGTTGGTACACAAGAGCACCGTGTACCTCGTGGCGCAGCTCGGCCAGCTGCAGGCTCTGCTGGCGCCACTGCGTTGCAATCCAGTCACGCTCGTTTTCCAGGCTATCAATGCGTGTGGTCATCAGCTGACAAGCACATGTTGTGCCGGTGCATGCCGCGCTGTGGATCAAGGGCAAGAACGTGGCAAGTTCATCGTACCGGGTGCAGCGCTCCTCGGTAGCAAGAATGTGATTTTCCATGCGTTGCAGGCGAATTTCGCGGCGCATGGCCAGCACGCGTCGGTCTCGTGTCCGTGTGTGGTAGCCTCGCCTAGTCATAACGCCACGCAGACACATCAAATGCACTTTCTTCGTGAGCAGATGTATCGCATGCTGCCAAATCGTGCGTGCGTGTGTGAGTGCACTGGCAAGGAAACGAAAGGTGAGTACCAGGCGGCTTGGATCCGAACTGCGGCACGCCAACGATCAAGATGCTGCGGGGCTTGATGTCGATCGACATCACGCATCTCGAGCGACCTCTCTTGATATTGCATAGGCGATCCTTGGCTTGGGAAGAAGGAGCGCAGGCTGGTTTCAGCCTCGTCGCCGTACGCAGGCAAGTGATGGGTGGAGCTGCTCAGGGCATCTGCATCGAGCGCGGCTTCACCTTGCCACCGTAAACCACGAATAAGCTCAACATCTTCGCGCGTGAGCCCGCTGGAAGCGACTTGGCTCGGTGGAGACGCGTCATTGACCACAATTGGTGCGGGTGTCGGTTCCATGGCCGGTCCATGGCTCGGTGATGCAGGAATCAGCACATCAGCGACGGGTGCTGTCTGCTTTCGATAGGAAGCGTATCTTTGCTTCAAGCCCGCGAAATTTTGAAGCAAACGCTGCGCCTCGGCCAGTAGCCGCGGCGACTGCCGTGTATCCACAGCCGCAGCCATGTTCGCCGCTACCCTTGCCTCCAGTACGAACAGACAACGCGCGATTCATTCAACCAGCTCAGCTCAAAGCGAGAACAGCAAACTCAAATTTTGACCGTTATCGCCTTTGAACTTTTGAACTTGAACTGCACTCAAAATGCTGACATTCTTGTTAACAACAAATACACGCTACATCTCTGTGATGCAGTTTGTGGTTATTTGTTGCATGCATGCACAACGGTTCGGAAGATCATTGTGGTCAACAAGGGATGACGCCAAGCGCAGGCAGGGGGCGGAGGTCGAGCCGCCTGTGATGACCGTCCATTTGTCAACTCGAGCACGGGCTGTGCCAAGTGTAAGATTGTCTCTATTTGGGGGTCGGCCCGGCAAGGTACAAGTGCCCACCTAATCGGTTGTCCTCGCTGCTCAAACAAGACATTTTTCGATTCTTCAGCCCAACCTCATCATTTGTTCAATGCTTCGAATTCAAAAGACACTGTGACCGACGGGCATGGGTGCCTCCTTTTCGACCTACGACCAAACGCTCCGCGACATCGAGGAAAACAAGGGCAAACATGCCGAGTTGGACTATTCCAACCGCGCTCTTGGTGACAAGCGGCTCCAGCGCATGGCTGAAAGCATCCACAACAATCGGTGCGACCGCTTGATGTTGATTGCTCATCACAGGCGTTGTTTCAACTTGGATTCTGATCCCTCATGCTTGGACCGCAGCACGCTATGTCGGCTGGATCTGAGCAATACGAACATCACAGGAGCCGGTGTTCGCTTTTTGTGTGATGTGCTGGCAAACGGCAATGGCCTCCTTAACGTAGAGGCCCTGGTGCTCAACAACAATGCGGTGTGCTTGCATTTTTTCTTCTTCTTTTAATTTTGTTTTGGGGGGACGCCTGCCACCATCTACCCTTGATCAGCCGAGCATCTCAAGCCTCACCCGAATTTCAATTGGCACCCTGATTCTGTGTCTCTACCGTGTTGTAGCTTGGCCCAGATGGTGGTCGTTTCTTGGGCCGTGCCATCAAGATGAACGGCTCTCTCAAGCACATCAAGCTGAATAACTGTGCCCTTGGTGATGAGGGTGCCCTCGCCATCGCCCAAGGTCTTCAGGAAAATTTGTACGTGTCACGTCAATGATTGTGTTTGGCCATGCCCATCCTTCGCAGAGCCTCTCCCCTCTAAGGAATACGGGGTTCTAACACCCATCCTTTGCTGTACACGCAGGTCGGTCTTGACGATTGAAATGGCTGGCAATCTGCTCAGCGACCGCACGGCACAAGCCATGGGCAACATGCTAGCTCACAATCAGCATCTGGAAGGTAAGCGAATATTCAAGACCGCTGAAAAGACACATCCCCTACCCATCTTCTCTTCTATTGCTTTCGGTTCTTAGGTTTGAGCTTGTTTCAAAACAGCATTCTTGCGGCCGGAGCCAAATACCTTTGTGATGGCCTCAGCATGAACGCCAGTCTTCGCTGGCTTTCATTGGGAAGCAACAACATTGGCAGTGATGGCATGCTGCATTTCAAGCATGCCTTGCCCCATCTCAATCTCCAATGGCTGGCTTTGGGCGGCAACAGCATCGGTGACGCCGGCCTACAACACCTCGCCGAAGCCCTGGCCGATGAACACTGTCCACTTCAGTCTCTCGGTCTTGGCGGCAACAATATCAGCGATATTGGAATGAAGGATATTTGCAAAGCACTTTGGTCGAACACAGGTCTTGAAGCACTGGGTCTTGGAGGAAATCGCATTGGTATGGCCGTTCTTTATGGCTGCACCGTGTTTGTCAGTGTCTTTATGTGCAATTAACAAACCTTCCTCGCTTTCACCTGAATACTGCATTTCCGTCATATCTAGGGGTCGAGGGCTGTGAGGAGCTGGCGCAAATGCTCACTTCTAACCGATCACTCCGTCGTCTTGTGCTGTCAAGCAATCAAATTGACGACGAAGGCCTGATGGTGGTTCGTCAATGTCGCCTACGGACCTGAATTGCTGCATTTGATTGGGGAGCAAGCTTTGCATTCATTATCCGCTTCTGGCAACCCGTCATGGTGCTTTTCCATGCTTCTACCTACTAGATTGCAGAAGGCTTGTGCAAGAATGAGCACCTTCACACGCTGGTTGGTCAATTTTCTCAAGGATTCAATTATGCCTCGAATCGTGCATTTGCGCATGCTTGTGCAGTTGTTCAACTTTTTGCGAAGGACCGTATCATTCCCTTATCCTCTCTTCTTTTTTCTTTGTGACTGGCATAGCTAATTGCCGCCAATCCTTTTACGATGGACGGAGCATGGTACTTGGCTCAGCGACTGGAAAAGAGCAAATCTTTCGCCAACCACGACCTTCGTGTCCTAGACATCCATGAATCTGCGCTTCAGCCCGCCGACGAAGAGAAGGTTTGTCGCGTACATTTATTTGAAGCCGCGCGCTTACTTTGACTTTCAAAGATTCCTCCTCCTTCTTCTTCTTCTTCTTCCTTCTTCTTCTTCTTCTTCTCTCTCTCTCTCGCTCTCTCTCTCTCTCTCTCTCTCTCTCTCTCTCTCTCTCTCTCTCTCTCTCTCTCTCTCTCTCTCTCTCTCTCTCTCTGTTGAAATGTCTTGCATATTCCAAGAAGATGCTTTATCTCATTCAGCCGTGTGAACAGTTGGTTCAGTTTTTGCAGAGCAAATCACACTGGAAGTCAGCTACGTGAATGACCAGAACGACTATCAGATTCACAACCAAAAAAGCACAAAAATCCCGCAGATGGTACGTGTCTTGCTGCTTATCTGGGTATTTTCTCGTATTTTCCTGTTGTCTTTTCCTCACAGCCATTGTAAATTTGCTCACACCAACGCTCAGAGCCTCTCTTCTTCTGTCATGACGGCTGAGGAGACATTGTGAGTTCGACAATGGCATTGTCATGGACTGAACGAAAATTAAAATAAGTTGGGTGTTCCTGTCTGCTCGAATTGACCAAAAAACAACAACATAGTAACATAGTAGACAAGTTGTAACCCCCTTTTTGAAAGTTCAAGTGATTGCCAGTTTTCAAAGCGAGCTGTGATCGTGCGATCAAAACTGACAATAGATGACGCTTCTTGCCAGTTTTTCTACGTTGAAGCGAAAAAGCTTTAATAATAAATTAGGTGTTTGAACCTCAGAGCTGAAAGCAAAGCTGTGCAACCCCGACATCAAAATCACGACGGCACGCAAAACACCACAAGAAAACAAAACACATTCAACGGCTGCTATCATGCCGAGGAGTACAAGCGCAAAGAATCACGCCCATAGAAACAAAAACCGTGAGAAACGACCAAGTATAACGAGAGATACAGTCATTTCAAACACAAGACACCCAAAAAGGCAATCACAGCACAAGTACAAGCCGTCACAGCACAATCACAGAGAACACCACGGCACGCTCACATCCAACGAAACACGACGTCGGATTGAGAAAACAACCGACCACAAAAGGAAAAGACATCATACAACGGACTTTACAAAAATTCAGCAAAATACCACACAAATACAGCAAAAATTAAAGCAAAATTAAAGCAGAATTAAAACAAAATTTGTTAGCGTCAAATCCGTGCTTCCACGCATTTGAACACTCCCACTGCTTTCGCACACACTCAGCATCGGTCGCTATGGGTCTTCCTATTGGTATTCCATAGCTACGACGACCTCACACATTGACACCTACTTTTGGACCCCCTGGGCTTGATCCTCCTCGTGGCAGTCACATGAGTAAACACCGCGTGTGACGCGGTCCCCACGATGCCTGGGCAGCTGCCCTGGGGCAATAAGCTTGTGGCTACTGTTGTTTCCCTTTGTTGTGACACCTGCGGTCGGGCACGAGTTGCACTTTCCCTACCCTCGGGATTGAGCGACTCTACAGCTATTCTAACGGTGCACCTGGTCTGGTCACTGTGAATGCTTGCCGACCGCAGGTACGTCAAGCCCCCTGCCATTCTGTCTTCCCTTTGCTCTCCTGTGTGCTCTGCTCTCTTGTGACTTTCCCTACCCTCGGGATTGAGCGACTCTACAGCTATTCTAACGGTGCACCTGGTCTGGTCACTGTGAATGCTTGCCGACCGCAGCTGGTTCAATTGACCTCAAGACACCACCAAAGCTTTCGCTCCGTCCCGACGGACGTCTCTCAAACCTCTCTCAAAACGCTTCCTCAAACTTACGCGCTTCCTCGCAACCCAAAGACGGCCTCCAGACGTGCTGGAGCCTGACATGGTAGCGATTGAAAACTTCGATCGACCGACCGCCCTTCTTCAATCTTTGCGCTGGATA